AAAGGCCAAGATTTCACCTGAAGCTTTCACCCTGGCATTTTTTCCTCTCCTTTTCCCACCACGAGTGGTGTTTTAGGAGTCGCTGCAAGCAGAGGAGGAGGAAAAGGAGGGATCTGCAGGCAAATCCAAGGTGTCCCCCTCCCAGACCAACTCACCCACCCTGCCTTGGGGAGGGGGTGGCTGCATTTGGACCCTTCAACCCATCCAAAGAGAGCCCTCCATGGCTGTTTGCTGGGGTCCAGCACCTCTCCCACAGGGAACTGGCAGCACTGGCAAAGGAGTTACAGTAAACATGGCTTTAACTTTAAACCTTTCTGCTTTGTGGCTGCCTTTTTATTCACTTTTTTTTTCCCCCTTGGCTCCCCCTGAATATGATTTCCAGCTTATCCTTTGGGGAATATACATATTTCACATATTTAGCTAAACAGGCCATTTTCCATCCCCGTCGATGCGTCAGCACTGACTCATTCACACCAGCCAAGAACCCAACCCAATATATTTTCTCTCCAGGTATATATGACACAGCAACATGATTCTGTAAAGCAAGCTTTGGGAGCTAGGTAGCAAACTAATCCCAGGAAAAATAAACTTGTGGAAAGGCAGGCTGCACTGGGACAGGAGCTGCACTGAGTCAGGGGCTGTGCTGAGACAGGGGCTGCACTGTGCTTCCCATACAGGCACTAATTCTCTATTTCCCTGCTAGAAAAGCTCCCTTAGGACACTGGCATTTTTTGCTCTCAGCCTCAAGTTTCCATCTTTCCTGGAGGGGACTTGCTTGAGAGTAGTTTTTGTTAATTGTTACCTATTGCCAGAGGCTAGAGGGTCATTTAGTAGCTGACTGATGCAGCACCTTTGATCAATGCACTCACACCTACCCCTAAATTTGCCCCTGGGACATATTCATGGCACCTCTTTGTCACTTAAACGAGGGTGTATATTTACAGCTCAGGTGTGCTCAGGGTACTTTAAGAGTTGGGAGTTTAACAGTACTAAAATCCCCTAGAATACTAGGGCCACCAAAAACGCAGGGGAATATTTGGCTGTAAAGCCTCTCTAAGCAATTCCTGAGGAACATTATTTCCTAAAAGCACATCCTCAAAAGTGTTGCATGCTGCTTTGCTTCACCCTGTCAAGGCAGGAATGGTGCTGCTGCTTCTCAGCAGGAGGTTTCTGCTTTTCCCAGCTGGGATTTTTGGCTGTGGTGGGGAACAGTCCCGTGGTCATGGGCCTCCACCACATGTGGGACCACAGCTTGTCCCAAAGGAGCCTGACCACAGACCAGAGCTCAAAATACCAGCAAGAGGGTGGGCAAAGAGCCTCGTTTCACGTTGGCAGCACTAATGGGTGGCCAGTCCTGCAGGGAGAGGTATTGTGTCAGCCCAGCATCCCTCCTGCATCCAGCAGGGCTCCTCTGCATCCCACCCCTCTGGAGCACCCTGCTCACCCACACCAAGGCACAACGGTGATGTGGGCACTGGGGAAGTGACCACATTGCTTTGGGGGTTTGCCTGGTCTGTGGCTGGGTTTGCTACTTCAAAGGCCCTTCAGAAGGAGCACACAGAAGGTGTGGATGAGCCAGAACTTAAAAAAGCAGCAGCAGAGACACAGAGACTGAGCTAAGGCACAAAGTGAAGCATCTGTGCGAGTTACCAGGGGAGTATGAGCAGATCTGCAGGAGAAAGACTGGGCAGTCTGGCAGCTGACCAAGACACAGCTTCAAATCAACGTGGCACTTCTCCTGAGCAATGTGCTTTACCAAGAAAGGCTGTGTCGCTGTCCCTGCTACCCAGAAAGGGAAACTGAGGGGCAGGGAGCAGCACAGAGACTTGCCCAAGCTGGCTCAGCAGCCCAGCAGCAGAGCTGGCCCTTGGATCCAGCTCCCTCCTGGCTCCCAGCCCACAGCTCTGCCCACCAGACAGCTCCATCCACCCCTGGGCCACCAACAGCACAAGCAAGGAGGGAGGGCTGCCACAGAGAAATGCAACACTACCAAGGAGAAGCTGTGATGGCAGCAAGACATGGCAGGAGAGACCCTTTGGGTCTTCCCATGCTCCTGCTTCCCAGACAGTTACCTACGCTTGAGCACTGAGACACAATCCCTCTTCAGGGGCCCGATCTGCAGGTGGGCATCCACACTCTCCAGGAAGAAGGCTGGTTTTAGCTTGCACAAGAAAAGAGAGGCAAACCGGTGGTTGATCTTGTTCTGGAACGGGTCAATCGGACCCGCGGTACAAGGAGAAAACTTCAGCTGCTGCAGGCAGGTCATCTTAGAGTCTTTGACTCCGTAGAAGGTCAGGGCCTTCTCTGAATATTCCAAGAAGACCCCGATGGTTTGGAAAAAGGGCTGCTGGATGACAGACTGGAGGCCACCAAACCAGGCCACGTAGTTCTGCCCGTTCCACTGCAGGCAGCAGGACCTCTCGTTCCGCCCCAGGCGCCCGCAGCTGTAGGACTCCCGGGGGTCAAATTCCTCCGCGATGACCCCGATGCTGACCCAGCCATCGATCAGCTCCACCTCCCAGTAGTAGTTGCCCCTGTTCATGAGGTTGACGCCCAGCACCTGCTCGCAGTTGATAAAGCGGGTTGGGCTCTCTGGGTAGGGGATGGGGCACAGGACCCGCTTGGCCCCTTTGGTGCCAAACAGCTGGATGAACTTGTCAGCCGTGTCACTGTCCAGGTCGATGATAAAGGCAACTGCGTGGG